TTCAGCAGCGGCCTGCGAGAAGCTATGAAATAATCTCATCGTTAATCTCGCGCGTCGTATCGGGGAAGGAAGGGGGAAGCGAAGGGGGAAGCGTTGCACAACCCTTGAACCGGGGCTGCTCCGGACCGCGGCCTTTTCTGGTTTTCCTGCTCGAAACAATGAGGACGAAAGTTTACGGTCGCGCTAGACCACCGCGAGAATCATATATTTTCGCCGCAATGCTCGTAAACTGCGGTCATGCTGCCAGTCGCCACATCGTAGGCGGACCTTCGAATGGCGATGTTGTTGTGCGGGTGGAAGGGCTTGCGTGGCAGTGCGCCACTGTGTCAACGTGTCACTGGATAATTTCGGAGTTACGCAGTTCTCTTGTTTTCCCGTGCCTTTTTCCTCTTTTTTTCCGCCGCAGGGATTTGTTCCCCGCCGAGTGCGCCGTTTGCTTGTTTATCTAAGTGTATTTTGGATGAAACATGGGGAGGTCGTCCCGCTTACTGCTCGCACTTGCGTTCGTCTGGATATGCGCATTATGATATGGTTGAAATACTGGTACAGTACTCGCTGGCATGTCATAAATGTCCGTAAGACAATAGAAGGAATATATGTAAGTCACATGATTTAAAATGAGACAAATGGAATGTACTAATCACAGTTCACACAAGAATGAAATTTTATATACAATTATATACAAAAATTCTGTGGACGTAATTATTTGTTTAGCCGAATCAAAATTTATTTTTGTTGAGGCACGTGTTAAATTTTAAAATGCTGCACGTCAAGCGTGTTAAGAGACCGAGCAGCCCAGAAAAGCGCGTTGAGAAGAAATATGCCAAGGGAAAACCTAGATAATGCTTCCAAGAAATAAAAATGTCGGTCGCTCGAACACGCGAATTAGGAACTTCGTAAGAAAGGTGGGATCTGGAAGGAAGTAGTCCAAGAAGATTTAGTGCGTAGGCAATTTGTGGGACGTTATGTTACTCTTCTATAGTAATTGTGACTTCACAGGAGAATTTACGAAAATGTCTCTAGAGATAGCTATTTCCTCTATCTCACACTTATCTTTTGAATAAAATCTAAAAATAATAAGAAATGACATTGGTATATGCGCGTGTGCACATATGTATAAATATTTGTTACAGCAGTAATATAAATTTTAAATCTAATAGATAAGATTAATCAATTTTATTACATATACGTTTAAAAATCTTGGCAATTTTTATATAAGATTTGAGCATTTGTGTGCATATATTTTATACACAGAAAAATCAATTTTAGGTCAACGCTGCAAAAGAATTAACTGTATATAAAACCAAAAAGAGAGAGAGTATGTTTTAATATACGCATATTTCATTTATTAACCAGAGTAAAAAATGTTTGATCAAAATGACACAATACATTTTCGCACCTAGCTTTATTTGTTGCAAATTTAACTGCCAGTCATTAAATTATTATATAGCCGTAGTTGGAATAACATAAATACCAAAGCGACACACGCGGACGCGTTTAATTACAGACATGTTTTATCCGAATTTACAGCCATCGCATCAGTGTGATACTATTCTTTTCACATAACCAGACATTTTTATCACCGATAAAAACGGTACTAGGGCTTACACGTGTGAATTTTCGTCCCTTCTCGATCTTTTTAAAGGATCCGCTCATCGGCGTTTTTAGGAAGAAAAATGTCTCCGGCTACAAAAATGACAATGATGATGGTGGGAAGCAGCAATCTTAGTTTACAGCACATTTACGCGCGCACAGTTTATAATATTACGGAATCCGGACAAAAAAATCCCTCGGGATAAAAAAGTGGCGAGTGACTACTCACATAGGGGTTGTAAAGACTCTTGCAGAGGTAGCGCCTGCGAGAATTCGCGACGAGTAGAAACGGACGGCTGTAGTCAGACGTGAAAGTACTATTACTGTATCTAACGGAAATATATTTGCGCAAGAGAAAGTATATATATATATATAGTTATATATAGTTGAAATTGTTCCGCAAATTTCTTGGCGCGATTCATATCATGTATTCGCTGTTAAATGTGTTGGCACCGGATTTGATTTATTTAATATATGCAAGATGCATATGTAAAGGAAAAAGAGATTTTGTAAAAAATGTAATATCTTGGAATTATTATTTATTTTAATGTGTACAACGTTATGTATAATAGTTTTGAAAATCTGTGTTTTAAGACGTTATTTCTTATATATTCTTAAGAAAATATACTTTTAAACAATTTTTAAACATTAATTTAGTGTCTTTATTTGATTTATGTACCGGAAAAACGATTGTGATAGAGACGGCGATAATGACGTTTCAGGATGATTTTCAGGTAATGTACATCATCCTTATTTGTGACGGTGGCTTTTTGTCAATTAATCTGAAGTTATCAGGAAGGGTGGCAGGGCTCTAGCCCGAGTTAACGAGGGCGAAGGTGTAAAGGGGTGGAGTGTTGGTCATTTGTATAACGCCAATGGAACGGGTATGTATACGGGCGTTATCGCACCACAAGAGGAATGGTGGGAAGTAGTGATGGAACTAAACTAATATTTACTCCCGATTCTCGAGCCAACGAAGATGTTCATATAAACTAAGTCAATATTAACTTTTGAATTGTAAATCTCATTGATATGTTTCTAATACTTGATACATCATGCGCGTGTTGTATTTAAAAGGTAATTCGTTGGATATTAGAATATTGTGCGATGAATAAAAGTTATTACAATTCTTTTTTTTGTCTAGTAAAAGTTATAATATATAAAAAATTTATAAAATTAAACGTTTAACTTAAAATAGACTTTAAAGTATCAAACAGATTTACAACTTATTTTTGGCCATATATATATTTGCACCACATATGCATAATACTAAATATATATATTTTATACTTACTTGCAATACTTTAAAAATTTACTTATGCAAAAACTTGAAATACGTATAATGGCAGATAAAGATTACGTATGACAGTAAATCATCGTGCTTGTCGAGATTGAAGGAGAATATTGCAGTCTTTTGGAGAGGGCATTGTTTATGCGAAACGATCAGTCCGACGAGTTATGATGTCAGCGGGTTGTTCTGGGCAGATTCGTTTGATAATTCGATAGTCACGCGCGTTTTAAGCCCCTCGCAATACTCGCTGCGTTCACCGTGGATTTACTCTCGCGCCGCACGCAGGTTCATCCAATTAAATTTATCAGATTGTACGCGCTCGAGGGTCAAAAAGAGGACAATGATTGGCAAGTGTTTGTCTTTTTTGGTCACGGTAGAAGATATTTTTCATTTACTGTTTGGACATTGCTGCATATAAAATGAACAACAGTAACACAATATAGCAATAAATTGAAATAAATATTTAAATACGTCGAGTTTGATGATTTATTTTAAAGCAAGATTTCTTATCTCACGACTTATATTATATTATGTATGCAAATGATTTCTTATAAGTTTTGCAGCGTTCGATAAAAATACGCTAAAACTACGGTATCAATATTAAGAAATTTTGTGTGTATTAGTGATCGGTTTAAGTAGGAAAGTGAAAATAAATTAAGCTGCAAAGAATAAGCAGAATAAAACAGAAATTAAATATCCTTTTATATCATTTGATTTTCTTTCGTACATTAGCGGATTTGCACGGTCAACTCGTACAGCTTCTATTACGAACTTTCCTTTCGGATCAATCCTTGTCAACCACCAATGAGTATCGTCGTTCAATCTGATGATGATTGATGATGATGGAGAATATACTAAGCGTATCGAAGATATACTAAGGAGAGAACGATCCGTATAGTTATTTGAATGATGTTTATTTTGAAAAGTTTATGCAACACGTGTTTAGGTAGTAGGCAAAAATGTCAAAAAGCTAGAAAGCTATAATAAGCATAGCGATAAAAATAACGAATCAGCTAAAAATAGGATGAAATATAAAGATAATTTTTTTTAAGATTGTGCAAATAAAAAGATTTTATATTAAATAAGGGAAAAAAATATCTTTTTTTTTTAATTATAGTTATATTTTTTCTGTCATAGCTAAAATATAGAAGTAGCCAATAGAACTCTGATTATAAAAACGTGTACGCGCGAATACGAGTGATCATGATAAAAGCGTTGAATTTGTAATCTAATTTATTAAAACAAGTTTTTACAAACACCCAATCTATTTTATTGCAAACCCAGATGAATTCTACAGGTGAGCCAATAAAAACTGTTATTGATTAAACATAAAACATTTCTCGTTCTCTTTTTTTTCATTGCTAGCAATATCCTTTGTCGAAAATTTTGCAAATAAAATTGTTAGCGATTGCGTTCTCGACAAAATACACGTCGTTTGTTGCAAATCGTGTAATGTCTTTCACCATCATGAAGACGAGCATACATATTGTCGCTAAAGTACGCTAGATAATTCTTCATAGTATATGACGAAAGGGACGCCGAAGGGGAAGGGGAAGGAAGAGAAGATGGGCAGAATTCTATAGAGGTACAAACGAGCATGTACAATGAAGCAAAGTGCATAGCTATGTTCCATAAGATATTCTACCGAAACGTCGAAGAGCGTATTACGCTTAAGAAATGAGCTGAGTTTGCTCGCTCGGCGCCAGTTCGCTACTTGCCAGTTATAATGCACTTGGATTCTGGTATCTTGTAAGTAGTACATCCACCAGTCGCTCGTAGACTTGGAGTTGCGCTCTCGCGGGAGACGTCGGCGAGCATTGGTTTCCTGTCCAGAATTCGCATACAAGTTTCATGGAAGATAGAACACATTTCCCATGCCTCTCCGCGACGCTCAACACGACGCAACACGCGTGATTAAGTCGCGAACGCGAAAAAAAAAATTCTTTCTTAAATCTATATTTTAACAACTTGGGGCAATTTTATTATTTATTTAACAATATTTTGCTTAACCAAAGTTACTTTTTATAATTTGGTATTATTTTAATGGGACTGTTGAAAAATAGATTAAGCGTCATCGGCGTAGATCATGTTCGTCAAATCGTTATTCTCTTTTCAGCGCCAGCACACGCACGCGAAACATTCAAGGAAGGTGCGCAGAGGCATGTAAACGATGCCAATAATGATTTGATGGAAGATTTGACCGTTTTCGAGCAGACAGCAGCGAACGTCAGTGCATTTGTAGGGCATACCGCATATCTACCATGCCGCGTGCGAAATTTGGGCGACAAAGTAGTAAGTTCTTTCTTATTTTACTTTTTTTTTCTCCTCTATTACACAACAGCAAATGCCAATCAAACGTGATTTTTTTCTGAATTGTTGGTTTAATTAAATTTACAAAGTAGTTTGCACACACATGTGCGTATCAAAAGTTTGAAAAGTCAACTTCATAGAGATATTTCGTATTTCAATAAAAACTGTACATATATATTATTATATTGCACGAACTTTATTATTGTGTGTGATAGATTATAAATCATTTTCGGACAATTAACAAAATCGCGCGTGTATGTGTGTATATCATTATTAATTGCAAACAAGCACTGATTGGATGGCTCGACGGCAATTAATCTGAAAATTTACCGGAGACAGTTTCGATTCAAACAGGTTGCTTCCAGTACCCTTATCTACACAAGAGAGCCTATGTAATTAATACAGCGGCATGACAAATTGTCGCTTCTGTAATAGCGGGCCGCCAATAAATATCATGGCCGCGATTAGGGGCTCCCCATACGTAAACGTAGATATGGGAATGGTTGTCGTGGTGCGTAGGAAATGGCATGTCTGTGACGATCTGTCATGAGGAATCGCAAGGACATAGATATCGTCGTGTTTCCTTTGAAAGCGAAATCTCTCTGGTGCGTATCTTGCGGCGTTGACTAAGCGCGGCATAGATTTAACGAAGATGTATGAACGCCTTAACGGAATCTTCCCTTTAGAGAAGCCCTTTAGTCTCGCTCTTAGCTCCCGTCCTATTTCAGGAGTTTGTCACAGTATTCAATGCTTTGTGCGAATTTGTAACGAACTGTTGATTGAAGCTCATCAACATTGATGAACCTTTATGGATATACATAGAATGACGTAAATCATGAGGGATGGTAAGCTTTTAATTCTCTATCGCTTTTTTTTTAAGATATGGCATATAAGAAATGTTAATATCAGAAAGATGTTCCCACACTTTTATATAACTTTTAAATAATATAATCGAAGTTAAAGGCAAAGGCAAAAACTTGCAAATTTGTAGCGTAGGAAGAATGTAGAAGGAAAACTGGAAATTCCTAAAATGTTTACATCAAAGTATGAACTCTATAACTTATCTATCTAAATTCTTCGCTCCGAGTAACACGCGCAAATAGAATCTTCTGGAAATTCTTGCGTCCGTAGCGAGAGCAGCAGTCTAGTTGCCGAAGTGCCGAAAACACGGTTTCGCGGTAATAAGAGAGCAAGAGGAAGATTGGTGGAACGAAGCGTGCGTGCGAGTTTGCGGACGATTCAGCTGCGATTCACGTAAACGGTGGTCGTAATCATTTTGCGAGGAACGCCATTCTGTCTCTCGTCGCGCTGTGCCATCGAATCGCATTCACGTATCCGTGTCGATCGTGCTTTGCTCGCAGACACCCGATAGATTAAAGGGCACTTGGCGCCAACCGGGAATCATTCCTGGAAAGCGAACGTCATGCTATTCGCTATGTATTTTTCCCCACAAACGCAATTTTTCGACACGCCCGTCCAATTTTCGTGACCTACTTTTCCACTTTTTTGAATTTCCTCTCTTGCTTTAAACAGATTTGCTTCTGCTTCTGCAACGGGTTTTATTGTTATCGAACGGCTGACAGTAAAAAGCGTATGCAACTGGTGGATGGATGCGGTTTTTGTAGCAGGCTCTGTCTAGTTTTTACATCTATCTCGAGAAAAAAATTAATCGGAATTGATAAATGTGTCCGCACTATTGACACTTTTCTAATCATTCAATATCTTTCACGCATATTATGCAACATTTTAATAATAATTGTGTTGCTTTCTGTCTTTCTCGAAAATAAGTACTGTCGATTAAAATTTTCAATAAACGATCCTTTGTGTTTTAGTTTTCCTTACTTTCTTATCAATATAGAAACCGCATTCTTTTAGTTAAAAGAGAGTTTTATTTCGATGTTGTTATCCAAGTAAAAATTTGAACAGAAGATTGATCGTACGTGGAAACATGATTCAATATCCAATATTTCAAAAGCGTATTTATATCTAACATAGATTTTATTGGAAACGAATATATATAGATTTCTTTAATAGCTGGGATACAAAATTGCTCGGCGCGCATTTTCTCGAAAAGCACGGCCGGATGCATTTTTAGTCCACGTTCACCAGGTTTTTCCAATCTTTTCCACATTTTTCTTCCTTCCACTTATCTGTTTTCTTTTTTTCCAACGATCCCTCTTTAATTAAATATCGATCTACGCGCGGACGGTCAGCGGCGACGCGTCGATTACGGCAAGTTTTCTCGAGTTAAGTCGGAAAATCAAATAGAGTTTAAGATGAAAATAATTGCGAGAGATTAGTCGCATTTTAGTAAAACTTGGATTGCATATTAAACAGAAATAGAATTGTAATGAAATTAGTAACGTCTCCGCATTACAATCGGATTATCAGTTAACATCGGATTATCAAGTAACATTCTTAAGAAATTATGAATGAAAGAATCAACTGCACGAACAAAGTCATTATTTTAGAAGCCTCATTAGTTCCGCGAATTGCGAGCATTAAAAATGAGTATTCAGAAGAGAATGCGAGAGTAGATAATTCGATTACCATCTAGTAGATGGTATTCTAGTTGGTTTTGAGTTAAAACATGAATAAATTTATGTAATATCTGCAGTTAAATATAATATTTATTAAATCGGTTTAAAAAAATCACGTATAATTAAATAATTATTATGTAGATATTGAAACATATACTCTTTTTATCCATAATAAACTATAGAATATTTTATTGTTTATTTTAATTTAATATTACTCTATACAAAACAGTATATTGTATAATTTATAAATTTTCGCTTATTAATACTACTCAATTTCTTGTGAATTGTTTTTTGATCTTTTGTTTTTGATAGTTGATATCTTTATCGATATTTATTCAAAAGCAAATTGTTGAAAAAGATGCAATACTATGGAAAAAAGTAATATGTATAGAAATGGTGCGATTGGTCGACCTGTATGCGTCTCTTCGTTCTGATTGTGAGTGCAATGAAAATACATAGCTTGATATTCAATTTTAAAGGGTCAATGCATATCTGTTCCTGTTTCCTTTTCGTAAAGAAAGAGATCGAGACTTGATCCCTACGAAATATCAGTTTACGATTTCTTCGGGCAGGAATATCAAAAGGGTCGGATGCGAATGTAAGTTAGCAACGAATGACTATGTGACTGTGTCTATTGTATTCCTTTTCTATAACGTTTTCCGAGAATCTTACTTATTCCAGTGAAGATGAGTTATGAAAGCTACAGATTCACGATTCTTCTGCGTGAAGGAAATTCAAGGAGCGTTGAGATAATGCAATGAAAAGTGCCGCCTAAATGCAATAAACCTTGTCTTTATGCCACTCCTTGTTGAACATTACTCAATTTAGAGTAAAATCTTTTGTGTATTTTCTATTAAGAATTGAGATAATTATAATATAAAGATCATTATCTTTTGAAAAATGAATTAACTTTCTTGCTATTAAAGTTCCGTTTTCCTATAATACGACTTTAAGTGAGAAAATGTTTTTTTCTTCCAAAATGAGATAACTATGAGAAATGGATTTATTATAAAGAGAAAAAGACTCTCTTTTATATATGTGATAAAAACAAAAATAATAATAATCTTAAATATAATTGAGAAAATTTTATACAAAATTGCATAAAATTTGTCCCGCTTTTTATTTTTTTTTTTATTATGTTTTCTATACTGAATATTAATATATTATACAAAAGCATAAAAATCAAAGTTCAACAAGTGAATTATTCATATCTTTCTCTAATATCTCCATTATTAAAGATGCGTATGACCGTCTTGACTTTAAACATTTTATTACCTCTCACCACAAATCGTTTGAATTAATGTTTCCAATGTTAATGCTCACCAGCACGTTCTGGCATAGAATCTCCTAAAAGTGTCTCGTAACTCGTTCATCTTCTCGACCAAAACATCCGCGGCATGATAGATGGCCGGAAAAGGATTCCTTTTATTTATGCTGCTCATAAAATTCGACATTTGCGTTTCTTTGCTTAATATTTATCAAATTCTCGCAAAAAGAATGTAGAATATGATTAAAATTTTTATTTTCTATGACATACGCATTATCTCTCCCGTGAAAAGTTTCAAAAATTTTTTTGATTTACATGCTACAAGTAAAAAAAAAATACTTGGTCAGAAATATGTTTGAAAGAAACTGGAATGTTTGTTATGGAGCGCATTTTTTAATTTTTTAAAACAATAAGATAATTTGCTGTATAAACGTAATTTATTTACGTTACGTACACGTCAAACATCACGTAGCATGATAGATTAAAAAGAAAAAGGCGGGCTCGTTCTAGCGAGATCGATTTTCTATGTGTAAGACTCGAATCCTCGGTACGACATTTCCACCGCATAAATTGGACAATCGCGAATTCTGAACGTGCATTATTCATGATTCCGAGATAAGGGAATGCGACTGGTTCGAGAAAAACTAGATGCATCGTGTATATATGTGAATGGAATCAGAAAAAAGAACAAAGCAATATGGTGGTCATTTCGTTCCAATCTGATTTTTTTTAAATTGTGCTATCAAAGTAGATTCTTTTCTTTGAAGAAAGGGGAGAAAGATAAGGAAGAGGGTACATTTTTTTAAAGATTTACTTCGTGCATTTTTCCTTGATATCTTAATAGCTTTTAGAATATTCCGAAGATGGTTTAATTTTTGTAAAATTGAAAAAATTATTTATAAATTATTATACAATGTCTCTTTTTAAGAAATTCTTACATGATATTATGTTACCGATTGCAAATGATTTAACAAACTGAACAAATTATTGCTACCAATTAACGACAATTATTATAAAGAGGAAATTGGGAAAAGGGCAATAATGGAATACATAGTAAGCGTTATTGACCGTATAAATTGGCGTAAAATACGTAACATGAATAGCGTTATACAGAAGCGCAATAAATTTTCACATTTGCACGAGATATTATGTTTTTCCTCTCCTGAGATTATAAC